AAAACACTGAAAAGAAATGGTTAAAATATTTCTTTTCCAAAACATCGAAAAAAGAACGGATTTACTAATAGTTACAAGGTTCTTCTTGAGAGATAGTATGACTTGACCGCGCGACGGCTAAACTAACAAATATTCACTGGCCATGCAGTTAGTTAATTCATACATAGTAATGTACACACACACAAGAAAGTCACACTACGTAAACTTTTTACTATACTATGTCACATAAGAGCTGGATTTTTGAAACTCTACGCAAATCATCAACAGATCTCGATACTATTGTTGAACAAGATGAATTAACGAAATTTCGAATCGAATATACATCAGGTGCTGTTAAATATACATATCGATCTGCATCGCACAAAAAATTTCCATCGTGCGCTATGCACATACAAGCAAAACAATTGAGCATGACCGATGTCGATACATTTGAAATATCCAAATTCGGTAAACATGATCATGAAAAGCGAGCGTTGACAACGCGCAGTCCATCACCTATTAGAGAAGATATCAAAACGTACGACGAATAGGAGAGACGAGCAAAATAACTAAGTCTTGCTCTATTATGTTGAACACATTATTATTTTTTGTTAATACTCAGATGTAAATATATGAGTTTTGCATGATAGTCGAATTTCTGTCAATCATTGGGAGAGGAAAGAATATCGTGAGAATAACTAATTACTAATTACTTAATGAATCCGTTCTCCTTTCAATTATTTTATTTCAAAATTCAAAACCGTTCTCTTTTTAACGAAAAAGCCGTGCTCTTTTCGATTTTTCTTATTCCGTTCTCTTTTAATTACAAATTTTGACGTAATTATCAAACCGTTCTCCATTCCATGCAAATTCCGTTCTTTTTTCACTTCTTGTCCGTTTTCAATGGCCCCGACAAAATTAGGAATAAAGAATACACGACATGATAAAATTAAGAAACGACAGACAGAAGAATCGAGAGTATAGTTTATATTTACTCTAATTAATGAAGACCGACGTAATATATCGTAGATATTTTTACATGGTTTGATAGAGCAGAATCTCAGCTACACCTGTATATAAAAATATTGTCTAATCTCAAAGGAATGACTCGTAAAAGTGAAAATTACTGAACTTAAAATTTCTCTAGCCAGAATCAGGGCACACTGCTCCATATAAACTTCTATAAAATAGACACTTCTACAAGTGTCGATGAGTGCGACCAGAATACGTGACAAGAGAAAAAAAGTTTCTTTCCAGTGAACGCACATGCGCACATGTATAAATGATACAAGAAATTGAATAAGCTGAAAAAAGCAGAGAGCAAAAAGCAGAGCAAGAGTTAAGAGATGGAAATAAGATTGCTGTATACCTAGCCTGCAGTACATTGTATCATGTTCCGAAAATAAAGTCGGGTAAAACTTGCGTCCTAGCTGTCTAAAAAAACGCTCTTTAGAAGCGTTTTCTTATCTCTGACATTGATTCTCTTTGGTGTTCTAAACGAGACCTTTTGCCCAAGGGGGAAACAACTGACTCCAGACTCCACTGTATCATTTGACTCCACTTGACTAAAAGACTTATGGAATCACCTGGAGTCTTGAATTCTTACAGAATTTCTCTGTCAGCCAAACGGCAGCCACTAAGAAAAAAGTCTGCTCAATCCATTTGGGAGTAGTTTCCCATAACAAGACACTTTTCTGGTTTCAAAAATGGGATAAAGTTCCGAAATAACAGAACAAAAGTGTGTTACGTAAAAAAAACAGAACATTGTTCCTCATTTGGTAGGAAAAATGTCCAAAAATGCAACATTTTTTTTTGGAGCGTTTTTGGCCCATTTTCAGAACAAAAATTGGCAAAACAAATCTTAAAAGGGCTGAGCAGTAATGTTCTGTTATTGGGAATTTTTTACAAGAAGGCAGCGCTAGCATTCCATTTTAGGGAAATGAATGGGTTTAAGCCGCAGAAGTATTAGGACTTCGAAAGACTCCAGTAGACTCCAAAAGACTCTAGTGCACCCCATACAACTTCAAGAGGTTCCATAAGACTAGAGACTGATGGAGTCTGCTGTTTTCCTCTTGAGATGACTCCACTTCACTCCATGTGACTCCATACGACTGGAGTCAAGTGGAGTCAGTTGTTTCCCCTTGGAGAAATATGATGCATTAGTTTCTGGTAGTATCCGTCTGAATTCTCTGAGATATGTGTATTTCTAATTAGTTAGTCCATACAAAAAATTAGCTAATGGATCCTTATCTTTCATGTTTAACGCCGTTTCTTTGGTTAGTGCACATCTATTGTTAATTAAAACGCAACTAAAAAAATTGCAAAAAAATGAATTTTATTTAGAAATAAATAAATACACACGGTATGATTGGTTCTCTTTCCTTTTCTCAATTCTCATTGATCGTAAAACTTCAAGCATAGAAACCATGGATTAAATTAGCCGTGAAAAACGCACGTAGAAATTAGCGCCATTTCAAAACTGAAGTTGAATCGAAGAAACGTTTGCTGTCCAACGTTTTAGACATCCCTTATTCTAATGCACTAGTAGGTTTTGCTTAAAATTCTCCTTATAAAAACATGATTCAGCGCTAATGTTCCCTGAAGTAATTTTCATCGAACATCCCTTCAGCTTCCATTTCCTTCGGAAAACAGACAGCTCGTTGGAAGTTTTCACAAAACATATAGAAACAAAAATTTGAGACTATCTTCCCTAGTCGAACATCTTGGAACCACGATCTTGACATCTTAGATTTTTTTGAAAAGATCCTGGTAAGATCTTTGGTGCAAGATGTCAGAATATTTTTGTTCCTAAGATCTTGCGTACAAAATCCTAAAAATTATCTTGTATCCAACATCTGGACTGTAAAATGACTTGCAGCCAAGATCATGGCTCAAGATCTTTGATACAGAAATATTTTGACATCATGTACCAAAGATCTTTGAGTAACCATGGGTTATCATTCACCGCCTTATTTTGCCGATGTCATCCTATATATGAACACCCTATTTTGTGTCTAGTGTTACTATGTTTTCGTCGACAGCAGAGTCAAAACTTCATGAGTGAGGCATTAGGGATCGTTTATCCTAGTGGATGAGATATTCGCCACTGAGCAGTGAATATTTTGTTCCCAACATTTTTTGAAAAAATGAACGGAAAAAAGTTATTGTCGAAATATGACGTTTTTGAAATATTCAAGATCCTGGGTACAAGATTTCAAGAAATATTTGCACCCAAGATCTTGCGTAAGATCTTGGGTACAAAATGCCTTGAGATCTTGTACGCAGTTTTTCAAGATCTAGTGCCAAATCCTAACGTAAGATCTTGTGCAAGATCTTGGTTCCAAGATGTTGGACTAGGGTTAGCAGTGGCGGATCCAGAATTATTCTTTGGTACGTGCAGTCGTCATAGAAACAAATTATTCTAAGAAAGTTCTGCTGGGAAAAAGCAGTTTGTTAGTTAAAAGGTACGAGTGGCCGCTCGTGGGCTGGATCCGTCACTGTATCTTAGTGAAAAGACAGATATAGCTTGGAGAATAAACTGTACTCTGTATAATATTTACACAATTAATTATAGACAACAACAATCAGTACCTGTGAATAACTACAATAGCCGAAGATTCCATGATCCAAAATTTCCACATAGCGTTGACAGCTACTGAAAAAAATGTATATAGAAACTAAGAAATTCGCGTCTATAAAATTAAACTTCAAACTTCCTTTCGAAAACCGGACAAGTTATTGAAAGCTTTCACAAAATCTATGACTCATGCGCCATCGCCAACAGAGAAAAAGCTTTTAGTCGCGGTCACTGATCATTTACACAGTTAACGTCTCTGATCACACACAAATAATAATGTAATACCAGCTAATTTCCGAGTAGTTTAGCTAGGCGATCTGAATAGAGAGTTGCTACAGGTCATTCAATTTATTTTGAAACGATTTGCATGCAGTTTTACTTTACAAATCGTTTCAGAAAAAAAACTCCTTGCTATACCAAACAAGACAATTTAATTCTCTACAAGACTATACATTCATTTCTGATGTTTAGCACAGTAAGTCTAACAGGAAGAGCGCCAAACTTCTTAAGTGTAGCTTCAAGAAATCGATTTTGTGCCAAAAACCTCGCTAAAAATCACTTATTCAACAAAACAAGGTATACCGAAAAATTCAGCAAGACATTTTCTACAATATGATGCTTCTTTTTAATGACAAACAATGATTTTTTAGATGACATCAGAGCGATCTACAAGAAAGGTCTTTTTCTCCGACTTTTCGGCCGTCTTAGCAACAACCAGTATTCCCTAGTTTTTCTGGTAAAAACAGTAGCAGATTTATTTGTAAGTTATACAGTCTAATAGAACGCAAAATTCTGCATTTTTTGATCTATAAACTAATGATTTGAACTTTGCATTTTATATACTGAAATAGTCAAAGCTGTTTTTTTAGTCCTAGAAACTTCGGTGGACTTAGAAGTTATTTATTAAACCCACTAGCAATTGAAATAAATTTCCTTCAAGTACGCTTTTGTAAAGTATGAAATTCATTTGACACTGAAAATTATTTCAGATCCTTTTGTACTCATTACAAGCAATTAAAAACAGAGAGCAATTTGCACTTTAAAACTGCAGTTAAAGAATTTGGAGCTTTCCTGTTAGACTTACTGTACCAAACATCAAAAATGAATCTTAAAAATGAATATACAGTCTTGTAGAGAATTAAATTGTCTATCGTTTGGTATAGCAAGGAATTTTTTTTCTGAAACGATTTGTAAAGAAAAAACTGCATGCAAATCGTTTCAAAATAAATTGAATGACCTATATATGGAAACTGAGCTTTTGTTTATGTATATATTGGATTACCTGAATACCATATGGTGCAATGTACATAGTAGTTCACTGTACTTGTTGCCAGAGTATCATTTAAAATGAATTTGATAAACAAAGTTAAGAACATTGAAAATGATAGCGGTAAGAATAAATATTTCATTCGATTTAATGTGTGAAGTAATATTATTTTCATAATGAATAACGTGTGTATGCCTGTGTATTGGCCAGTTATCGTTGTTTTCTAAACGATTTACTATGTGCTATTGTTATTATTAGAAGATTTGTGCTACTGACAATAAAAGAAAAATAACGGCACTATATGACTAATGCCCGTTCAGTGGTTTCCGTAAGGAAAAGAAAGAAAAGTACAGAGAGATCGGCATCACCTACTTCTGTATCTATAAATTCATTCTTATTCTTTTGTTAAGTTCAAAAAATGAACCATACTGTGTGTCGTCTCATATATCATTATGAAAGCAGGACGTACAGAAAAAGAATAGTGGTCTGTGTGAGAATAACGTGAACTCAATAACACATTTGACATAAGAGAGAGAAGAAAAAATAGACACACAACAAATAAGGATCTTTCTGTTCTCTTTCTCTCTTTACACTTTGTGAAGAATGTGGAAAAATCAGTTCAGCATTGTTTTCATTCACCGTTTTATTCTTGCAACCCTTTTTTTAAAGAATGCGCCGAAATAGTTCGAAAACCAAGTTATAAATGG